TAAAATTTCTTTCAGACCATATATTCTCGGACAACTCCAAACTCACCTACGAAAATGTGTAGAATTGGTAAAATATTCTATTTATCTTTTACGTATTTTTTGTAGGAGAAAGGCACTTGGTCTATTCCATGTGATGTGTCTGCTAACGAATTCAGTAGGTGAAAAAAACATTCTAAAGTTCAATTGTTTGTTCATCGATTATCATTATTAACTTCATATATTCATTCTAATGATACTGTCTCCACAATGACAATCCACTGTTTGAAACATTCTCCTTGCATCATCGATCCCCCATTACCTGAAAACTCAACGACACAAGCAGTTCACCAACTTCACAATGTGTAAGGCACCCTGAAAGTGCTGTTACATGCTACAGGTGATTTCTATAGAGTATCACGCCCTGTTAGGAAACATTGTAGTTGGCCGTGATACGATGAGTATAGAATCAATGAGGTATGAAGGCATCTCCATCAATTTGTCTCTTTGGGATCCTCTAATTACTCAAAGAGAATTTACATCAAAAGGATCTTTTGGCTCGAAAAGCGGATTATTACGTACTATCAAGGCTCTTGTTATCAGCATTAACTATTCAGAACGATTTTAGACTACAGGGGGGACTTCCACCTAAAATTTCGGCAATAATGAATCAATCTGGAGTGATGGAGAGTCTTCTGCATCTCAAGTTATCCAAAGCATTTCAAATATCAAGTCCAACTTAATTTTTGATGAATATCTTCATTCTTCAAAACTCGAAAATTACGTGAGATTTTAGTCAAATTATCTTACTTTTTGTTGCATTTAATTTGAACAAAAAAATCAATTTTGAAAAAAGAAAAAAGTTTGTAGTAATGAATCCATTATTAGTTCTTCTTAATTATTTTTCAGAACAAGCATCGAGAGTACTGATATTTTCTGTCTATTTTCTAATCTTCATTGGATGATATAGATTAACTAGATAGCGGGTAATCTGAATCAGTCAATTGAAAGACTTTTGGCAATGAAAATGTTTTAATGCCGCAATTCTTGGTTTGAAGACTTTTTCTATTCCTGAAAAATTGATTACTCTTTGGGAAAGCAATATTAATTTTTGTCGGACATAATAAGGAAAAAATAATGCAAATATTCGAAAAATTACGGAATATTTACGTAATTGTGGGGTGACCTTGTTTTTCGGGAAGGCGTACTGAAAATTCTGTAAAAACTGCACTAGCGAGTGTGAATTTTTACGAAACTCTCAAAACTATTTTTACGGTACCTCCAGTACTTTTCCCTAAAAACCAAGGCTGCTCTACGTTTACACTGGGAAGAAACATTTTTTTTGCTAAGAATATTTTCTTCCCACCAGTAAATCTGACAATCATTGTGTAAATGATCCCATAAAATTTAGTAATACCAAATATATTTTCTTGTGGTTAGTAAATATTGTTTAACGGACAACATTTTTTTCCCAGTGTACGTAAAAGTTTCGTTATTTTTTGAATATTTTTCTTTGTGTGTAAAATCATTTGCTTCATCGATTACTTATCAGTAACTTTATTATTCAAATAGCTATATAATTAGTTAATTTGCCCGAACCTTGCCTCATATTCGGATAGATTTTATTGTTGGAGACAATGGTTCTGGAGTAGACTACGGAATTAAGACGTCTGATTAGTGTGAATATTTTACAGTAGGAAGTAATTCTAATTGACACCTGAAACCTGTTAAGAGAAAGTATGCATTGATTTTAGTATGAATTCAGCAATTTTTTGTCGAAAAGATCATCTCTGTTATATAAAATTATATAATATGGATGGAATAACCAATAAATTTTTCGATAAAAAAAAATTGACCGTTAAATTTTGCGTTAACAGGAATAAATATACCGTTTTTGCCTTTCATTATTTTTATGAATAGCTCACAAAATTTCATTATTACGTAATAATTTTACGATTTTTTTTCTAGAATTGTAGAAATATTTAGAAAGGTTCAGGGAAAACCCAGTGAAGTAATGGTACTATGATGAAACTTCATGAGCTACTGAAGAATAATGAAACCCATCAACGCTAAATTTTAGTTTAAATTCGAACAAAAATTTGATAGAAATATGGAAAGAATTTCGATATTAATTGGAAGGATGCAACACATAATTCTTAGAGTCATAATATTTCAATCTTTATAATATCTCAGAGATAATGACTACAACAAAATAAATTTCTTTATACAAAATAAACAAATTTGCCAACGTATTGGAGTCTTTCCATCACGTTTCATATATTTCTCTGATTTCTAATAATCAGTGGATGAAATTGCGATAAAATGATATACTGTCCTTGAGTTCTATCATTATTCAATGATTGACGAGGTCTTACCAATCTATAACAATCTTTCCACATTCTTTCTCGTTTTTTATGAAGTTCATAAAACCCGATAAAAGTCTAGAAAATTACTCGCATCATTATAAAAGTCGATGAGACATTTAGTAAAGATTAAGTTCAAAACGGTGTAATTCTTTTTTCACACATCCTTGAGAGAATATGGAACTTATCACCCGAATAAGTAAATCTATTCCAAGTTTTTTTCTTCATCAGACGATTAGTTATTAAAATCGAAGTTCTCAAATGATTTGTAGCAATCCGTACTTTGACACAATCCTCTAACTCGACGAGAAAACTTGCAAACCAGCTTCTCACTTCGATGGTATGTTCCATTGCCTCTTAAGACAAATATATTTTCTCTAGCTTATTCCAGATGTAAAGCTTACACTAAATTTTCTTGTAATGCATTGTCCAACGATTATCTTAATGGCCTGTCGCAGGTGCCTTAACGTATCTCTCTGATAGCTGCACCCTTTCTTGTCAGCCACTCCGACCAGCCATCCGGAAATCATTTCTAATGCGCTCTTTCTTTAGGATTAATTGTCGATAATTCAAAAAAAGCGAGTACAAGATTGGAGCACGATCCGCCATCATTAGTGGCCATTTTAATGAAAATTAGACTCCTCCCAATTTTTTGTAGGCGGAATAGTCATTTTTGAGTGATGTTATTGAATTATTGCATACGAGAATTGTAGAACATTATCATTAATTCGATTGTAATGACAAGGAAATAGAATTAAGAGGAATGAATATAATAAATTTATGTGAATGTTAGTCTTATTTTCAACTTTGGAAATGTAGTAAAACTGAACCCAATGTAAAATGTAGGTACAACACGAAAATCATATATTCACCCTCAGAACGCCATCACTCCGTGCAAAAATGTAGGAATCACATAATCATAATCCACGCATTGTCGTAAGCTTATTTAATGAACGAAACAGTTCTACCATATATGATCCCAATGCGATCCCAAAACGGACAAGGATCATTAACTTATGGATAAGTGAACCAATTTCGAAAACTTAAACTGACCTGTTTTGTCCCACTCTCTCAAACCTTCTTGATGTTTTTTCCGGTTGTTTTAATAGCTTTATCGAAGTCAATCGGTATCACCGTAAGTCATTTGAAGTCATTGATTCAATCGTTTTCCAAAATCGCTGAAATCAAGTCCAAAATGACGTGAAGTCGACTTCATTTAGAAGTCATGGTGTCACTTGGTGTCACAATGAGAGAATGACTAACCCCTCGCTCCATTGAGAACACCAAAGTGCTCTTATCTCGATCCCCTGATGGCATGTATCAAAGCTCATCACACCCATGATTTTTTAATTTTCCAGTCAGTATAAGGCATCTCCCGATCCCATGAAGGAGAACTACTTGCTGAGTGTCTTCCTGGGGGACATCGTCGGTAGCCCAAGATTGTGTCATCAGCTTGCTAAACGCAGAGCTTGTACGGAGGCACTTTCTGATTAAAGGGAAAAAGATGACACGCTATGATGACGTGAGTCCTCATGAGGTTTCATTTTCCATATTTTATCATCATAACGGATTAAATGATGATTTATCTTGTGTTGACAGGTTATCATGCAGCTTTCAAGACACTTCCGTGAATGTGCTATAGGAAACAGAGCAGCTGTACATAATCCTCAAAGAATTTTTATTTTTTTAATTGATGATTGTCTTGCGTAGTGATATAACTCAGGTGTTATATGTATGTTGATGTTAATTGATGGAATTATGTTACAATAAAATTTAAAGTTTTATTGTTTCATGCAGATTATAAATGAACTAGGCAATCATTAGCACTGACGCCCTCTACCTCTGAGTGGGGCTGTAGCACACAATAACATCCTCGTAGTCATGGAAATGATCAATCGATCCATTCACCAATAGGAAGACGAATAAAAGATTGACAACGATAACAATCATTCATTGTCAATCTCTTTTATAGACCGACGTCGATAGGTCAGTGGCTAGGTGCGAGCCTGGTGTTCTGAAAGTTGTGAGTTCGATTCCCCGTTGAATCGAATTTTTCAACAGGCACCGATGAGCGGGAGGTTGCTAAT